CTTACAAGTTTCTGCTTTAAACAAGCAACGCCACAGTCGTCCCTATTGTCGTAACCGATCCAAATCAAGAGATAGGAGTTACAGTGGTAACAGATCTAGTGATATTTGTTACTATCATAAAAAATTCGGTGATAAGTCATTTAAGTGTAAACAACCCTGCAACTACTCATCAACATCACAGACAAATAGTCCGGAAAACCAGCTCCCCGTCTCTCATTGACGACGGAGGGACAAGGGGTGCAGCTGAGTCGTCTTTTCATCAGCGACAAAGAATCGGCTACCCAATTTTTAATAGATATACGGGGCAGAAATTTCTGTCATTCCTCCCTTGCCTGCAGATAAAAAAAAAACATCTCAAAATTAGAACTCTTTGCTGCAAATGGTACGAAAATTAAAACATATGGCCAAAAATTACTCAAGCTTGATCTTGGACTCAGACGATCATTCACATGGCCTTTTGTAATTGCGGACGTAAACAAACCGATAATAGGCATGGATTTTCTTGCAAATTTTAACCTTTTGGTAGATTCTAAAAATCGCAAGTTGATTGATGGTACTACATTCTTAACAACCAATGGAACTCCTTGTTTTCAAAATAACAATAATAATATTCCGATTTTAAATGCCGTAAATGATCCATATAAACGTATCATTAACGATTTTCCGGATTTGTTAAAACTGAATGTAGTTAATAATAAAGTTAAAAATCATAACATCGAACATTATATCGAAACCAGAGGTCCACCAGTTTTCGCTAAAGCCAGGAGACTATCAGCTGAGAAACTTAAAGCGGCTAAAAAGGAGTTTGAATTTATGCTCCAAATGGGTTTATGCAGGCCATCCAAAAGTAACTGGTCGAGCCCACTACATCTCGCTATGAAGAAATCAGGTGATTGGAGACCTTGTGGAGACTATCGAGCGTTAAACAACGTCACGATTCCTGATAGATACCCTCTCCCATTTTTAACAGATTGCAGTTCCATTTTAGCTGGAAAAAAAAGTTTTCTCATCCATAGACCTCATTAGAGCGTACCAACAAATTCCAGTTCGCGAAGAAGATATACCGAAAACGGCCATTCTCACTCCCTTTGGCTTATTCGAGTTCCCATTCATGACGTTCGGCCTACGAAATGCGGCCCAAACGTTCCAACGTTTCATGAACAGTGTGTTGAATGGACTAGAATTCGTGTTTTGCTATTTGGATGACATTCTAAATAGCCTCTCCAGATGAAGAAACTCACCAAAAAAACATCTACGAGCAGTCCTCGAGAGACTAAACGAATATGGCCTGTGTATTAATGCGGCAAAGTGTAAATTTGGTCAAGCAAAACTTGCATTCCTGGGATACGAAGTGTCAGCTGAAGGACTTAAACCTCTTTCAACGAAAGTTGATGCCATCAAAAATTTCCCAGAACCAAAGTCATTTACTAGTTTAAGACGATTTTTAGGTATGGTGAATTTTTATCACAGATTCATACCAAATTGTGCGAAAAAATTGCAACAACCTTTAACAACATTGCTCAGTGGTATTAAAAAGAACTGCAGAAAAGAAATAACCTGGACGGCAGAAACAAGAAACGCCTTCCAGATCTTAAAAGATGCACTTATTCATGCCACAAACTTAACTCACCCATCCGAAAAGGCTGAAATATCGCTAACAACTGATGCTTCCGATACTGCCATTGGAGCCGTTTTACATCAGATTGTGAATAATGAAAAAAACCCTTTAAGTTTCTTTTCCCGAAATTTGACATCAGCACAACAAAAATATAGTGCCTACGACAGAGAACTCTTAGCCATCTATACAGCAGTAAAACATTTCAAATACATCTTAGAAGGGCGAACTTTTGCAATATACACGGATCACAAACCACTAACATTTGCCTTCCAACAAAATTTGGAAAAAGCTTCGCCACGACAAGCTCGACAACTGTCATATATTGGCCAGTTCTCAACCGATATCCGATTCATACAAGGGCATGAAAATACCGTCGCTGACGCTCTCTCTCGCATAGACACCATTTCTGTACCATCTGCAATAGACTTACAAACTATAGTAGACTGTCAAGAAGATGACGACTTGGAGATACTAAAAAACAACCCAAACTTAAAAATCCTACAGATCCCTATACCGGACAGCGACAAGAAAATTTACTGTGATACTTCTACAAATTATAATCGACCATACATCCCTGCAAAGTTTCGGCAGAAAATATTTTTCGTCAATCCATAATTTATCTCATCCTGGAATAAGATCCACGATAAAATTGATAACACGACGTTTCATATGGCCCAATATGAATAAAGACTGCCAACTATGGACTAGAGCATGTTTATCTTGCCAAAGATCTAAAGTTCACAGACATACACATTCATCTTTGGGAGAATTCAAAGTACCTCCACACAGATTCCAGCATTTAAACATAGATCTGGTGGGTCCGCTACCTCCTTGCAAAGGATTCAAATACCTTCTAACCATCATCGATCGTTATACACGATGGATCGAAGCGGTACCGTTAGAAGATCAATCAGCAGAATCTATTGCTAAAGCTTTGATTTATACTTGGTTTTCACGCTTTGGAATTCCGAATCGCATAACATCTGACCAAGGTCGGCAATTTGATAGCCAACTTTTTCAAGCTTTAGGAAAATATCTTGGTTTTCATACAAACACTACAACTGCGTACCATCCACAGGCAAATGGCCTGATCGAAAGACAACACCGAACTTTAAAAGCAAGTCTCAAATGTCATCTACTCGAATCAAAATCATGGCTGGAAGCATTGCCTTTCGTTCTTTTAGGCATAAGATCTGCCATCAAGGAAGACCTAGGTTGCTCATCCGCAGAACTTGTATACGGAACCCCTTTAGCATTACCTGGTGAATTCTTTTCAACAGTACCTCATATGAAACAGTCTGAATTTTCTCAAAACCTTCAGAAAATAATAAGAGCTATGAAGCCAAGTTCTACCACCACCCATGGAAATAGAACAGTCTTTGTTTCTAAACATCTTTCCAACTGTTCTCACGTATTCCTATACAACAACATTAATAATTCGTCGCTACAGCCTGTCTATCTTGGACCGTATCCTGTAAGAGCAAGAAAGGATAAGTACTTCGATATTGAAATCCAAGGAAAAGTTAAAAGAGTTTCAATAGACAGACTAAAGCCATGTTTCCTAGTGCAAAATTCTGATATTCCTTTCCAAAACTCCCATCCCAAGAAAGCGGAACTTGGGGAAACACCTGCACCCAAGAACACTGAAGAAAATTCAGAAACTCATCATGAAACCAAGACTACTAGAACCGGCAGACATGTGAAGTTCCCCAGTCACTTTAAAGATTATCTTCCATAATCGCTGTCACTAGGAAGGGGGTGTGTAGTGTCGCTTCAGTTCCGTTAAGTTTCTAATTAAATTTAGTTAAAGCGGAATGACAACACCTTCTAGTCTCCGCGAAGAACGAAGTAAACAAACTTCGGGTTTCTGTCACGCGATTGAAAGTGCATGTAAAATGTAAATAAATCTTATGAATAAGAATATATAACTTTGTAAGGAATAAAATATTGGTTCCATTGGAGTCAGAGAAGTGTTATTCTCTTACATTTGCATACCAGACACTTCAATGATTAATAAATGCGAAAGCAAGAATTATGACAAAAAAATTTTAGTAAGAAGAGTTTAAGTTGAGTAAGTGAGATGAATTGAACTAAAATTGCTAATTAGAATGCAGTAAGAAATTGGCTGTACAGTCATGTTTTAAAATCAATCCTAAAATGGAGATATATTCTTATAAGAGTGAGATTTATTTTCTTACTTGAGCAAACCGTCTCCCGACATACTTTCGCCTTTAATCATATTTACTCAATACAAACTTTGTAAAAATAATAATGAAAACAACGCAATCTTTGTAAAAACAAATAAACAAGTAAGAAAAGAGAAATAAAAATATATTCACATAAGACTAAAAGGAAATAGTAAAAATGTATGAAAGGAAATTTATGAAAAGAAGCACGTAAGTTAATTAATTCATCTTCTGGCGTTTAATGCAGATTATGTAAATTTCCTTTTCATACAATTTTTATATTTCCTTTTAGTCTCATATGAACATATTATTATGCACCTTTTCTTACTTGTTTAATTGTTTTTACAAAGATTGCATTGTGTTCATTATTATTTTTACAAAGTTTGCATTGAGTTAATATGAGTAAAGGCGAAAGTATCGGGGGACAATTTTCTCAAGTAAGAAACTAAAATTCCCTCTTATAACAATATATCCTGATTTTAAGATTTATTTTAAAACTTGACTATACAGCCAATTTCTTACTGCATTCTAATTAGCAAATTTACTAAAACTCATCTCACTTACTCAACTTACTTAACTTAAACTCCTCTTACTAAAATGTTTTCATCATAATTATTACTTGAGAAAAAGATAAAACACTTTCGCATTTATTAATTATTGTTAATTCTTCGGAAGTTAGTTTGTACCCCTTGAAAAGTCAACTAATTTCTGGTCAATGACGATAATTACTCGTTTTATTGATTGCATTTTCACTTCTAATTATACTTTTTTAATATTTCCATTTTAAATTTATTCAAGATTCAATTTTTAAATATGCTAATGAATTACACTTAATTTCAATAGCATTCTAACAGATTTGTCATAGGAGATATATACTAAATAATTTTAGTAGAATATATAGATATCTATTATATATATATATATATATATATATATAATTATATAGTTATATACATATAATTACATAGTTATAAATAAATAATAATACATTCAATAACATTTATATTCATATATTTTTAATAGCATTGAGAATTCATGGGGTTCAAAATCTTTTCTTGAAAGATGAACTATTGTTAACACATATACAAGCAACTTTTCTGCTTAAGCATAGCGGCATTCAAAATTAATAGCAAGTAAGCAATTAGATTTCTTGTATTGTACATTAATTGGATTTAAAACTTTATACATTTACGCAGGTATGGTTCCAAAATCGAAGAGCCAAATGGAGAAAACAGGAAAAAATGAATCGCTGCAAACAGAATGTGTGTGATGAAGACATATTATCTGCTTTCACTACAGATCAAGAAGTGAACAGGTATCAGAGAGATTTCGGAGAGCAACAATCTTCGGGTCAGTGTACTTTTCTATATTATCAATGTATCACACAGTTCTCAGCGGTTCCTGTACAAACGGGAATCCAGATTATCACAAGAGATAATTATCACAATAATATTACCTTGGTCAAGAGAGGTATTTTTACTAAAATTACTTTACTAAAGTCTCAGTTCGCACAAATTTTATTGCACTATAAAGTATTTCTCCCATCTTCTTGGCATGCCTTCATGGTGTGGTGGTCTGCACACTGGGCCGGTATTCCAGAAGTCCGCGGTTCGATTCCCGGCGAAGGCTTTGTTAATTTTTCATCTTTCCTGCTTCTAAAAAATACCTAACGTCTCTACTGTACTTAAACTAAATTAGAGATTTCCCTATGTTCGTTATTAGGATTTAGCATTATTCTGAGGGCATATGCGTAAGTGTTTTCGAATACTTCGATAAATGTTAAAACTAAGGAACATGCACTATAAATTGCATTTATTAATTCCAACAGTTTTTTATCTTGATAAGTCACATACTGATGAAAGTGAGCTTTTGAAACTTTTAACTGCCTAAAATGAAAGAGAAGTATGAGAGAAAAGAATTATGCACAGTTTTCTGTTATAGTCAAATTACAGTTAAGTATTTTACCTAATAAAAATTGAATGCAGTTTGGAGACTCGGAGTATTTTATAATACTTCAATAAAGAGTTCAACATTAAATATTTCAAAAAATATTTTTAAAGTTTTATAAAGTATAACATTTTTTAAATTTTAAATTAAATAGTTCTGTACCGTTACCTAACACGTGGCGCTGATAACATCTTTTAATAATCACGAATCAGTTGGCTATATTTCAAATTAAATGTAATTATTTTCATTTATGTCAATAAAAGTAAAATAAAAATTTAATTAAGTGCGTACAACTGATTAAATTTGAAACATAAATTAAAAATCGTATGTTTTACCGGATGGAAACACACTAACTTCGTGAAAGAGTTCATCGGATATAAATTAAAAGGTTTTTATTTCACACATGCGCGAGAACGTGTGGGAGATCAATAAAGATCTTGCGTTAGCTGTAATTCTTGCCAGTGATTGCTTCAGATAGGATTGCCAAAGGATTTTGGCAACTGCAGTTTTATAGCACAAACGTTACATATAAAATGTAAAGTCATACGAAGGTTGTAGAGGTACGAAGATAATATTAAAAATAGTAGAAATAAAATATAAGTACATAAGACGGTATATTCATTGCATACGTGCAGAAACTGTCTTAATAAAAAGGTTATCTTTATAAACGACAACATCGTTTTAATAAACGACTGAAGAATTGAATACTGACACAGAATTTTTAAAAGCTATGTTTATTTTCTTCTACACAAGTATAAATGCTTTTGTGTATCTAAATACTCAAGTTTGTCTATGCAAGCTTCTGGCCCACCAGCGGCCGAGCGGTAAAGTCGCTGAACACTGGTAGTTTAAGTCTGAGGTTCGGAATCCCGCGAACGGGTTGGCGTTTTCGTGGTTTTCCCCATGTGTAACGTATATACGAGCCAATTTCCCTTAGAAAGTCCTCCACGAAGGCACCCCTCCCCTTAAGCAGATAGCCCTAATGTGCTTTGCCATAATTAAATAAACCAAACCAAACCTATGCAAGCTTCTGTGAGGGGCAAAAACCTAGTGACCATTGGATTTAACACTGGTACAAATCACTATCAGTAGCTTTCCAGAGGTGAGGTAAAGCGCCTATTTCCTAGAAGCGGAGCAGGTGTGTACTTTATGTGGGCCAGAATTCAAGGCGGACGAGAATATCATACATGCGCACAATAAATTCGTAAGTCTTCCTGCTGAATACCATGCATTCTACCGAAAAAGGAGGGTCTGGTAGGTCATTTTTGAAGATGTGATTCCGGATATGGGACAGTAGTTGGTCTAGTACTAACGTCAGTGATTACTTATCTTTTTATTATATTCGTTTCTCCTTTGTTTTTCATTCATAATATCAGTGTCGGCAAGTAAAGCTGACTGCTGTCATGAATTGAGAAAAGAAAATATTGAATGCCTTTCTCTAAAGGATTTTTGCAAAGGGAAGACTAGAAGAAAGAAGAATATACAGTTATTTATAGCTTCTCGATGCATGCAACGATGCGCTTAGCGAAAAGACCGAATTACTTAATGAATGTGTACAAATGACGAGTCTTATACCGCCACTAGCTTTAGTCGAAAGATAGAAGAATATTTAGTATACTTATCGCTATGATTTGGTAAATACTATGACAGATGCTAACATTGTAGACCATTGCTCTGAGAGAAGGTATTTTTAAATTGAGTGAGGAAATGTGAGCCTCAAACTAGGACACTGTAAGACATAATATGTTCTGTAACTTCTGTGAGACCCACGCTAAAATACTATGAGATGCAATCTTTTCTCCGACTGCTTTATATCCTGTTTTAAGATGAAGGAAATTCACCAGGTAGATTCTGTGATTTTGAGCAAGGAGCTTGAGAAGAATTTGAACCTTTTCTTTACTTCAGCCTATGAAGGATCCGTGAAAGACTTTCACAACCGGGACACCCTGATTTTATCATGGAGGTAAGAAAGGAAGGAGTGGCCAATCCGGCATTAGAAGTGAAGCATCGCTAAAAAGCTTCGGTCACCAGATGGGGTGTTTTTTGTTTACATTCAGAAGCTCGCTTGACAGCGCTCTGATAGTATTTCGACACACGACAGTTCCATACAAATCGAAAAACGGGACACTACTGCATAAAAGAAAAATTCTAAGCTGGAATTACAAAAATATAGATTTTAGGAAAAAAGTTATGCTTAAAGAATGAAAAATAGCTCACCGTACCTTTAAAATTGTATACATCTTTCGATACCCTTGATAGAGTATTCGCTGCTTTTATTTATGTTCCAAACGCCAAAATGTTTTAAATAAAATAAATTTTTTTCACATCCACATATTATTGTAATATGTACCTTTTTTAAATTAGTGTAAATTACTTTACTCGAAAAATAGTATAGTGAATGCACAGAAATTAAAGATTTCCACAAGCCAGAACTGAAAAATGTATTTATGCATGTGCTTGCAAAAAAGCATGTATCTGCATTAAAAATACGTAAATATTTATTAAATTATTTATAAATGTATTTGAATGGAGGATTTATTCATTCATAAACCAACTGTGAAAGTTACTGTGAAAAAATCTAATTATTAAATGTATCTAATTTATAATGATTGTAAATATTATCTAAATATATAACACTAAACATTGAATTGTAAACATAATTGACATCTTGTTGACAAATTCGTTATAAAACTAGTTAAGCAAGAATTGTTCGCACTGGAAAGCACCTGTTAAAAGGTATTGTAAAGCATTTATGAGATCGTATTACAAGTAATAAAGAAGAGTTTTGAATATGTTTGTTGAAATTAAGGGTAAAAATCTGATAAGTATAGTTAAAAGAATTATCCCCCTTACTTTCATAATACTCAGTTACAAATTTTTTAAATAATATTTAAAATAATCTTTATTTTATTCTCTTCAGAAATATTCAGAGAAAGTTAATTACTATTTAAAGTATTTCGCTATTAAATGAAAGGTGCTCTAATTTGAAATGGACGAATAGACATTAATTAATTGACTTTGATTTTTCTATTTAAAAGATCCTCAAAAAAAAATCATGTCATATATGGAGAAAGTATTTTAAAGAAGCTCTATGAATAGAAAGAAATAATCATAATTTTAATAATACAAAAACTTTGATCTAATTTTTGTAATCCTAACCGAATCAATTGAATTTAATTTTTTTTCTAATGTAATTAAAAAAAACTTGGGAAAATATTTCAAATTAAACCTTCTGAGCAAATTGTTCTGTAAAAGTATCGCAATTAATTCCGTTCAGAATAAAGTTGTTTAAAACTGTTTTCTTTTCATATACTTAGGACTGAAGTATTGTAGAAAAAAAATAATACATTTATATGCATTTATGACGTAATTACAAAATATTTACATCCGATGTAAAACCAATTGAACTCAATGTAAATTACCCAGTTTTTGGTTACCAAAGAAGGGATCGCCAGTGCTTCAAAGCATGTTGGGAACTGGTTTAGGGTTACTCCATCTAACTTCCTACCTCCATGGATTTTATCGACCCTCTGAGAGTCAATAAAATTTTAAAGGGGATCATTGATGATCTACGGGTCGACAGCCGAATGTGGAGCAACAGTTGATGGGCATAGTCAAGACCCCATTGATTATAATATTTATAAATATATATATATATATATATATGAATGTATATATTAATAAAACTGATAATTTATTGTTTATTGATATAAAGCTGTATCATGATGTTAGGAAGATATCACATAAATTTAAGGTAAAAAACACACTAGAATTGATCTTGATATTATGACGCAAAGAGGGTTGATTGCATTGAAAGAGGATGTTCAAACGGTACGCTAAGTTTTGAAATTAAAAAGTGCTTCAAAAGTAGTATCCCAAAATTAAAAGTTTCTATCGAAGCAACTTTATTGTCCTTTTCCTCTTCTTACCTAGTGGAAGCAACAATTTATTGCGGAAAGAAGAAATAAATTAAATATTTTTGAATGAAGAGATTTAAGAAATAAATTAGACATTTTTATTCCAAATATTAAAAAATTCATTAGTACATCAAAAGCAGCTACAGTATTACTTAAAATCGAATTTTTGCGCAAAAAGAATCGGTGACTTTAATAATGCAAAAAATAATAAAATATAAATCTTATAAATCATATTTATTTCAAAACTTTTGTTCATATGGTCTAAATGCTACCTTTTAAGTTATTTATGTGAAGTAATTAGTATTATGCGTATGCTGCATAGCATATATTGTAGAAAAGCATATAAGGAAATTGAAAAAGAAAACCATTCTTTTAAAAGAGGCATACAGGAAAAGAATTGTGTATCCACGATCTATATGAGCACCAATGTAATTTATATTAGATAAATATCTGATACTTATTCAATTCAGTTTAATTCTGAATGTAGTTTCGGAGACTTCGATTTAAATTATAATCATAGTTTCACCTTTGAAGATGAAATCGTGAACTTGTGTGCTACAACCTACTTTATAAAAAGGTGGAGCTCCCCTTTTGCTTGTAGTTATTCTTCTTGTATAGCATCCTCAAGATAGGCCAAAATTTTGGAGCTCGTACTGTTCGTTGAGAGATCTCGGTCTGTGATAGCAAGAAGTTCGAGTTGCAGACAGGAGTCCAGTGAGAAATTTCTGTTGATTAGTTTGCTGATTATGTTACAGTCTGTGGGGACTTTTGCGTATGAATATGTGAGCCTGTTACTTTAAAATAGGCACTTCAGTGATTCTGTCAACCTCTCCTCCATGTATGATAGTAACTCGTATGGTCATCACTGCACAGCAGTTATTTTCTCCAAGTCATTTGAGACTGGACTTCTAGAAACCTTTGATTCGCGTGCTTTTCTCGAAGCGAAACACGCTAAATGGAAATGAAGTGGGGAAAGAATTAAGCGAGTCGCCTTTTCTCCGCAGATATTGTTTTCAAGGTTACGAGTGAAATCTGATAGCAGGAAATAATTTTGAAGTTCCTATTTTAAAGTAACAGTGAACCATAAGATATTTTACCATATCTTATGGATCACTGTTACTCCATAAGCTCCATAAGATATTTTACCATCACAGAGAGTCGAATGCCCCGTATAATTTATATTTAATTACCTTCATTTTTTCCCATTAACATCACTTTTTTATTTAATACAAATTTATATTTTCTTTCAATTTTCATAAGATTAAGATATATTCATTGAATGATAGATACATTAGATCATGAATTTTTTTATATATGCTCTGATTTTGAATGCAGTTAAAGTAAATCTGCATTGATTCATACATTTACATATTTCTCTTACTTGTCTAGAGACGTTCCTTCACTTAAAGAAACAAAAAAAAAAAAAAAAAAAAAAAAAAGCGTGAATAAGAACTATAATTCATAACGCAAATAAAAACAATTAAAAACAGATTGTAGATTTGTTAAAATAATACTAGACATATAAAAGCTGATTTATTTATTTATTTGTTTAACTTTCATAGATCCTACAGTGATGTCTTATGAAATCAATCAAACTCAAATCAGAATGGATGACTTATCTAGTCTTGGAATCTTTGCTTTATCATCAGATTGGAATGAAACTACAGACGATAGAACGACAGATGTTGTCCAACTAGCACTAGATGCAGCTGGTGCTTTCCTTTCTCCAACTTCCACAACTCAGATGGAAACAAATACGGAAACAAGCGCCGCTTTTGCAATCACTCAGTCTTGCGTCTTCAATGGAAATTCCTCTGCGGACAACAATCTGCAAAATGAGGCGGAGATAAAAGAGGAAGCAACAGGATGACCATAAATAAAGCAGCAGTGTTTTGTACAAACCCGAACAGAAAAAGAATAAATTTACTTTATTGCTATTTATACGAGACTATCTTGATCGACATTCTTTTTCAGTATTTTATTAAACCACTTGCTTATAGAAAAATTTAAGGGAAAGATATAAACATTGTTGAAATAAAAGAATAAAAGGGTATTTCATAGAGAACGACGTTTCAATTCAAGCAGGGCCGGTTCCAGTATTTTTGATGCTCTATCCCAGCGTTTCCCAACGTAGGGCCCACGTCCCACAAGGCGGCAATGAGACTGTTAAGGGGGGCAATTCGAAAATGGACTCTCCAGATTTTAAGGGGACAAAGGAAGTCAAAATTTTTCGAAATTTCATTTTTTTTTATTCCCCAAAATAAAGAAAAATGTAAGTGATGCATATGTAAAATGTTTTTAAATTGCGGTGCATTTTAAATATTTTATAAAGATTTTCGCTGTAGACCATGGACATTAAAATGCTTTTAAGGCATTTAATAACTGACCATTATGTTTCCAGCTTTTCACATCATTTCACACGAATTTATTTTTTTTTATACTGTTGAATGGCAATCGGTATATTATTTTTCCTTGAGGGACACACACAGCACTTTTCAGCTTTGTTTAATTAATCTTATATTTATTTCTTTTAGCCCTTAGTTGAAATGAGGGGTGCAACAAGAAAAAAAGTTCGTCAGTATTCGGAGGTATATTTAAAATTTGGTTTTCGTACCCAGTCGATAAATGGTCACCTTGCCTTTTATGCCAATAATGCCTGACCCACGAATCAATGAAACTAGTCATCTGAGCACATTTGAAGCGAAACATAATGCTGATTATTCAGATTTGAATTATTTTCCTCTTTAATATTTCTCTTTTTTTT